GCTATAATACATTTTGATGTGACACAGTCGGGTCCAGTAGACGATGGCTGTAGAGAAGCTTTAGTGATTCTGACATCAGTCGTAATAAAGATGCTGAGTGTATACTGTATGTGCACCCTTAACTTTATTTCACAGTACTTTGTCGGAAAGCAGATAACATAGTATTAAGAAATCAAATAAAAAAACACACTTTTGTGCTCTTTTGTTTTGATGAAATTGAACAACTGTTGACTCTTCTAAAGGTTTTCTCAACACTTTAAACTTTAGACACAGAAGTGCTACAATATGTGGTATAAAAACATGTTGCTAAATAGCTAAATGAACTAGAAACCCAACAGCTCTCAGAAGATACTGAAATGATTTTATAAAAACAACAATAAATAAAGACATGTCAACAGTGCCAACATTGAAATAAAACAAAAGGAAATTTACACGTGTACACATAGTCCAAAATCTTAAGGCGGTTGAAATATTAAGTCAGACAACCAAGTTAACACTTTATAAGGTGCTTACATAACACATTCACATCAGGCTCATACATGCTTCATTTCACATTAATAAATAACAGCAGTGACATGACACATGAAACGGATCCATAATGACACTGACAAATACAAATGGGTGATCAATGTCTAAAAGAACAGAAGAAGAATTGAATCACTGACAGTCTGATGCTGACGTTTGTACCCAGTTTTTGAGTTTGCAAACATGTGACCAAGACTGAGGTTGGCGAGAGTGGTGCAGGTTAAGCAACCTAATATACAATGCACAAAGTATCAAAGCAGAAAAGGATTTGACCAGTGTCAGGGAGGAAAATTTGGAAAATATTTGAGCCCCAACTATACTGAACTCTTATGGCAATTCAGTTAAAATGAGCACTACATATAGATGGACATTAATGAGAATAGAAAAAAATCTAAATAAAAAAAAAAAAGACATTTGCTTCAGGGAAGTACAGTAGCTCAATTTCCTTAAACTCATTCATTCATTTTCTACCGCTTAGTCCCTGAACAAGGTCGGAGCCAATCCCGGCCAGCAATCGGGCAAAGGCGGGGTACACCCTGGACAGGTCGCCAATCCATCGTAGGGCTAACACATAGACGAACAACCACGCACACCTATGGGCAATTTAGAGACACCAAGACACTGAGCTGCATGTCTTTGGACTGTGGGAGGAAGCCAGAGTACCCAGAGAGAACCCACACAGAGAACATGCAAACTCCACACAGAAAGGTCCCAGGTGGGGCCTGAACCCGGAACCTTCTCGCTGTGAGGCAACGGCGCTAACCACTGCACGCTGAAGTCACATTCGGCTTTTCCCGTGTTTTAAGGCTCGCCACAGCGAATCTTCACACTGATGACTCACATGTTGACATTTGGCGCACTCTGGATTCGAACCCGGGATGCCGCGGGGAGAGCGCCTTAACCACTAGCCTACCAGGGACAGCTTTTTTTCATAATCATGAGCACAATTCAGCAGAATGTACAGTATATAATATCAGCAAAGATTGTTTTGAATGTCTTTGCAGGAGTAGAGTTATATTATTAAGAAAGAACAGCAAAGTTAAAAACATGTTTTACTTATTCATTAACATACAATGAATAACCATGAGCCTGATTGGAATAAGTTATATAAACATCAACAAAAAAAAAAAAAAAGCTTTAAGTCTTATATTTACTTAAAAACATTTCATGGTATACAAATTCACAGCCAGTATGTCAGAAGATTTCAGTTTCACATTCTCAAATTTTACTCTAGCATGTTGATATTTGTCTGGTACGTAGCTTTCGTAGAATACAAAAAGATTTAACAGCCTCATAGTTAAAAATGAAATGAGACATCTCAGCAAGCAACAAGGCCCATCTGTATAACAAAATACTTTCCTGCATTTATCTGATCAGACATTATGCAATACAATACAGTGGAAGAAATATCAAAGCAAAAAAAACATAGTTATTAATAGCATTAAATAAATATTTTCTTGAAAATATTCATAAAAGCTGCCATAGACAGATCAGTATATGTATCTGTTACATTCATCCATCGAGCTCCTCTGCAGGGAAGAACAGGTGTCTGTGTACCTAAACAAAAGGTGACAGTGTACAGCTACCTTCCCTTTGAAGTGTTAGTGATTGATATCAGGCCTTCAACACCACATCCTGTGTGGATATTATCGTTTCCCAATGTCTTTAAGTTTGAAGGAGTAACTGATACAAAAAAAAAAGCTTAGTCTACAGCCTACCGTTGTATGTTCACACATTACAATTCCCAGACTGTGCAGAAATATTGTAAACATTTCAGTTATTTTTCTACTTTGGTACTAAATGTTCAAATGAGAGTTCATGAAACTGATGACTGAGCCTCATTACAGGATGAGATATACTCTATTTTCTATCAGAATCCAGTCAGTGAATACTGCTTTATGGGATTACGGGGATTTTAAAATTGTATATGCATGTGAAAGCTTAAAAAATATAATTAAAAAAAACAGGCAGTTGTGGTAAAAATAGCAAATATTCCGACAGGTTTAAAGCGGTACATGCCATTCTTTTAACAAGATAATCTAAATAAACTGCACTCCATTTGATAAATCTGATTCGTCCACCAATACTTCTCCATGTACACAGCAAACATTGAAAATATAGAAACCCATAACTGTACATTGATTTATTGAAGTAAATATATGCAGGGAGAGAAGAAAAAGATTATTTTTGAAGAAAAGGTTCAGATAGTTCGTCCAAAAATACTGAGGTTTTGCTTTACATATCTTCATATAGTAGTTTCATATTACACAACAGCAAATCCACTGTCACAGGACCTGGCCATGCGATACCCAAAAACCTAAAATCCATTGTAACATACATAATATTAATTTGCAGTATATTTTCTCATTAATAGATAAAAGTTTTCCTGATGAATGCTTTACATAATATCACAAATTGTAAGAATATTTACCCCATTTTCCTCACAGTCAAAAGAGAATGTAGCTAATACACATGAATGAGTAGTTGATTATAATATGTTTTAATAAGTTTTCATTTATTCAACTGTCAGATGAGGTTCTTGTGTCATTTCTGCAATGTGTGGTCTATTTTAAAAACACCTAAAGAGGTTATGATTTATGTTGGGCTGATACACCTTTCCAGTAGTCCAAAATATCATGCAGGTCCTCATCCTTTGCAAACTGGACTTTCTTACGCAGTGCATGGCCCGCAGCCATGTATTCCTCATCTTTGTGCCGTTTGCGGTGAAGTTTAAACCGCTCCCAGATGCTGTGTGAAGGTTTGCAGTAGTATTCGGGACTGGAGGAGAAGCTTAGATTGTGATACTGGGATGCCAAATGGGAATATGCTAAGTCTCTGGAGCGGCAGTGAGTAAGAGGCTCCAGCATGGACTTGTGGCTGTCAGGTCCTTCAAGCTCCTCTATTTGAGCATCAGGATATGAGTGCCGGTGGTCAGTGTACTGACGGATCTTCTCTGCTTCAGCCCTCAGAATGGCAGCAGCAGGAGTTACAGTGAGAATGGTCTCTCCTGTAGGGGAGGTTTTCTCTATGTACTTAGATTCAGAACGATAAGGCCTGGGGCTTCGCATGGGCCCTCCTGTGGCAGTGCTGGGCCTCTTTGGTGAGACATCAGAGGTTCGATGCCTCTGCAGAGAATGATGGTAGCTATCCTTGTACTCTGGGGACAGAAGGCCAGATTTACCCTGTGGGTGTTCTGATATTAGTATGAGCTGTGGCTCTGCTGTGGACACCGCTCCAGATTTCACCCCTTGAAAAGAGGTGGATTCTGACTTTAGAGCATCTATACAGTTGTTAATTATCTGATTGACTTTATCCACCTCTTTTGCAATGGTGGAAATCTCCGCAACTGACCCCTGGCTGTTCCCAACCATTCCCATGTCACACTCCCTGCGTTCATGGTGGTCCACGCTTCGCACCTCCATGTAATTTCCCTTCATCATTTTAGGAGTATCACTTATCTCTTGAAATTTGTACTGCTCCATTTCACTAGCAGATGGTAAGTATGGCATACGCATCATGCTTTCCCCTGCCAACAACTGCTTCTGTGACATTCGAGATATAGTCCCCCCTTCCAGTTCTTGTCCATATTTGAGTTCCATTATATTTTTCTTCAGGCTATTAGATTTTTTGTGCTTTTCATCTTGCTGACGTTTTCTTCGCAAGCAATAATAGACCACCCCCAGAAAAATGACCATGCTAAAGAGGCAGCCTAAAATTGTCATTATGTAGTGAGTGGCAGTTGCATTGTTTACAACTCTGCTCTTGCCACTCCAAGGGCCAGTAGTAATTGTCAGACAAGTGTGGTTGTGTCTTAGAGAGTTACGTATTGAAGCGACACAGTATGTGTAGTTAGTGTGTGGTTTAAGGTTTTTTAATTCAATATCCTCCTTTATATCTTTCAGGTTCTGAATATCTGTGAAAAAGCTGTTGTTGTACAGAACCAGGATGTACATCTTCTTGTAGGGATGTGGAATCTGAACTGTGATGGTTGCACCTGTATTTGATACTTGCTTGAGTTTCATCAGAGGGCTTACTTCCAAATCGATGTAAGTTGTACTGATGGTAGTCTCTTCCGGTTCTGTGCCTGAGGGACATTCATCCATCCCACCAAGTGTCGAGTCAGGTAGTGGTAGCATGGACTCAGTGGGCATAGGAATGAAAGGTGTCACATAATCATCAGTACACACAGTGGTGAGCATGTGAAGTGCATTTCGATATGTTGGATTGTTAGGATTCTGGCTCAATAAACTGTAACCAGAGACACCAGGTGGGGAATCACACACCATTCGCTCATTCGTCCTGTTCGGGAAAACTGAGAGCCATTTGACAAAACCAAGTAATTCACATGAGCAGTTGAAAGGGTTGGTATACAGCTCACAGGTAGTCAGTTTAGTTAAACTGGTAAACGTGGACCCGTCTAACTGCTGGATTCGGTTCATGGAGAGGTCAATGTTCTCTATGTTGGGGCATTCCCAAAAGGCATTGGGTGTCACAGTCTCAATCAGGTTTGCCTGGAGGTAGAGGTACTGCAGCTTTCCTAAACCCCTGAGGATCCCCTCTGTCAGGTTCCTCATCTTGTTGAAGCCCATTTGAAGGACTTGTAGGTTAAACTGAGCAGAAAAGGCTCCATCCTCTATGTAGGAGATTTCATTCTTCGTCAGGTTCAGGTAGGTCAAGTTGGCAAAGCGACTAAGGGAAGAATAATGGATACTTTTGATTTTGTTTTCATTCAGACGAAGGTCCACGATGGTGCTGTTAATATGCTGTGGAATGGCCTCATAAGGTGGTTGGTTTTGGCTACAAATTGCAAGCCATACAAAGCCCTTTTCGCCTTCAATTAACCAACAATCTCCACTGACTCTGCCAATATGAGTCAAACATACAATGGCTACAGACCAAAACAAGGCACTCGTCACCATGCCTAAGCTGCAGGCCATTGGTGCTTCTCTGAGAGTCGTGCAGGGCCAAATAGAGAGAGAGAGAGAGAGAGAGAGAGAGAGAGAGAGAGAGGGTGATACTGTGGTGGTTTCAATACAACTGAGATGATCCCGTTGGTAAATCAGCCAGATGATCAACTGTTCTCAGGCCCAGAAACAAACCTTTTATTTGTCTTCTCTTCATTGATAGATGGTATTGCCCCTGTGTACCAATCAGAAAATTGTTGTATATCTACCTTTACGCTGAGCTTGTTTCATTGAGGTTTTCCTGCAGTGAACTTGTGGTGATGCTTAAAGGACATTTCACCACCTCAGATTGGCTTGTGCTATTCTGCTTATAGGTTACCATGATTAAATGGTCTCATCTTATTGTTTCTCCCGCTGTCTTCTTTCCTGTGTCTTGCTCATGTGCACGGAGGAATAACCTAAAATATAAAGAAAAGAATACAACAGTTATATTTGATCCAGATAAAGAATTTACTTATTTCGCATGTTGGTATTGAAATGTTGCAGTCTAAGCCTAAAATTAATGTTTATTGCACTCCTAGTTCATACCACACCAATTTGTTTGTACACATTTTAAGAGATGTTTGAAGTCCCTGTGGCAGACTGCTGTTAAAGGCAACCACTGGCCAATTACCACTTGACAGTCAAGGAAAAGCAAGGTCCCTGTTTTCACACCATTAACCTGAAGACTGTCAGATGCAACTGTGGAGGCCAGTGTTAAAAAGCTGCGTTATGGAGCACCACATGAAATAATACTTTGGATCAGTGTATTTAGGATCTTTAAAAACCTTCATGAATACATGCTTTTTTAATGAACTGAAATTATGCAAGAAAAAATTAGGAAACCATGTTCATTGTCATTACTGGATCATCCTAAATTAAATTAAGACATTTTGCAAAGGGAAACAAGTCATTGCAAAGTGGGGGAAAAATATCCCTAAAGTTTTTTTTTTTCCTGATTTGTTTTTTCTTAAATATGCATTACAGCACACAATATAACATCCTTACATGCATGTCTTCTGTAGTTTCATACAAAGGTTGTACCATTTAACCAACTCTGTGATATGCTGTAGAATATCAGGTAAATTGTAAAAAAGATTAACTAGATTAAAAAATATTTTCACTTGATTTGACATTTCACACATAATTCAAAACCATATAAAAGTCATCCTTTGAAATTTTTGCTGAACAGTTATCATTGTCACCACAAGTGACATTGGTAAATGGTAAAAATGTAGGCAAACCAAAATTTAAAAAAAGTCTTCACCATTTTAGGAACTGCCTACATGAAGACAAAATATGATTCAAAACTTTGCTTTGTCAAACTATAGTACATGCCATTTCCCTGTAACTGAAACATTACTAGCAAGGCTGTGCTCCTTTTACATATTGTAAACATTCTAAAGAATATCACTAGGAACAGCTGTGCAACCATTACAAAAAAGCAGCACTTACTTGAAAAGTAGTATTATTTAAAAAATAAACACGTATTTTAAATGAAGGAACTCACCACTGGAAGAATTACTGAATAAGCATACTGTATCTGCAACAGGTTGGTCATGCTGACACTTTTGGTTTGGGTAAGTTTTTCCAAACTTTACACAGTGTGATGGTCTGTTCCACCTCAGACATTGCAAAAGTGAACCATATCACTGTTGTAACATGGCTGCCTTTCTTTGCTGGTATTTTGTCATGTTTAGCTGCCAAAAAAAAAAAAAATCCAATTCCGAATTATGTCCAACAATCAACACTGCACTTTAAACTGATAAACAGATACATTGGAATATTGGTAATATACTCTGAGGCGTTGCATGTTTCACATAGATTTGACTTGGGCCTTGAGGGTGAGATCACATTTGAATTTACAGTATAGCTTTTAGATTAGCCTTTTTGTGTTTTACATTTCATACATTTTCTGTAAAGAATGAAATTGGTACAATATGTTTTCCTTGTCAGTTCACTATTTTTGTTTTCCCATTGCCACTTTTTACCAAAAGTGTATTATGTGGTATATGAAAATCAATTTTCAATAAACTCTGACTGAATAACTTAAATGAATGTTATTGGCAATATGGTCCTGACAAAGTTCAACAGCTGAGGTCAAACCCTGTCATTGAATTGTACAGCTGCAGTTTTCTGAAAGACTGTCCAAACTTAAAAATGCTTGGCCTGAGTTTCATTCAAAAGTGCATAAAAGACAAACGAAGGGCAATTTTGTTGGCTAGAAACTGTTTTAATTGCAAATGTTCTTGCTTCACACAGTACTAAGACATTATCTGCAATAGGGCTGAGATAATCACAAAAAAGCACTGGTCAGCTATTCAAGCCCAGATAAAGAGCAGAATGAAATGCTGTAGTGGAGGACACTGCAACAGAATGCCAAAGGCTGCCATTCCAAAACCACCTTCATGATGACAAAAGAGCAGTAGCAGAGGAGCGTTGAAGAAAAGAACACTTTCAAAGCCCCTGGGAGGTAAGAGCTTCAAAATCAAATGTTCCATAAAATGAATATGAAAAATTCAGCTCTGCTAGATGTCTGGCAAGCTGAAAGATCTGTTAAAGATCACTGTTATTCACCAGTCTGACCTTTATCACAAATACTGCATGGCAGAGATTCATCTGACCTAACCTCCAGGCGCTCACAGCGTGGCACATGGTGCAAGACCCTTTAGCAGCTTAATGGAAGTTTAACTTAAACATGAGAAGTATCCTCTTGTTTAGAATCCATCTGCTGTGTTTTGTTTGTCCACAGTGACGCACTCTAGTGAGCCTCTAAGTGATTCACTGCCTCACCGCTCAAACCATGCATAAATTACAGATAGGCTACTTCCCTTTGTTGGGGTAAACACAAAAACACCAGCATGCTCACACTGATACTATACAGTAGTCCTGCCTGACACAACACAGATTTTGCATTCAAATGCTGTATCTTAAATCCTGTACTTAATCCACAGTACAGGCCAATCAAAAACAACACCTGGAGTGGTCGGTTGGGGGATAAAAAAGCAACTACATTATAAGTTTCGAGTGCCTTAGTTTTATGCAAATCACACAAGAAAAAGTAATGGCACCATTTGCAGTTTCCTGGTTTTCTGCATAAAATGGTTGTGAAATGTGATCTGATCTTCACCAGTCACAAATATCAACAAAAAGAATATTTCTAAGCTGGGAAAACACAAACTTTTGTGATCTTTCATGTGTAATTATTGAACACCCCCATTAAACCTACAAAGTGATGGTGGAAAAAGTAATGGCAACTGTGTGTTAATAACTGGTTGAACCACCTTTGGCAGCAATAACCTCAAACAAGTGCTTCCTGTAGCTGTGGGATAGACCTGCACAATGTTCAGGAGGAATTTTGAACAATTTCTCCTCACAGACTGCTTCAGCTCAGTCATATTCTTTAGGATATCTGGTGTGAATGGCTCACGAGGTCATTCCACATCATCTCTACTGGGTTGAGGTCTGGGCCCTGACTGGGCCACTTCAAAAGGAGGATTTTGTGTCTCCAAAGCCATTTTGTGGTAGATTTTCTTTGATGTTCAAGCTTATTGTCCTGATGCAATTGTCGTTCTGGGCTTCAGTTTGTGGACAGCCACCCTGACATTATCCTCTAAGATATGTTGATAAACCTGGGAATTCATTTATCCCTCTACAGATGGCAAGTGGTCCAGGTCCAGAAGCAGCAAAGCAGCCCCACATCATGATGCTCTCTCCACCGTACTTTACTGTTGTGATTTTCATTTTGGTATGCGGTTCTCTTTTTATACCACATGTACTGCTGTGTGTTCTCCTTAAACAATTTTACCTTTTGTTTCATATGTTCACTGATATTTTCCCACCGGTGTTGTGGAGTGTCAAGGTGGTCTTTGGCAAACTTCAGTGTGCAGCAATGTCATTTTTGGAAAGCAGTAGTTTCCTCCATGATGTCCTGCCATGGATACCATGTCTGTTCAATATTTTGCATATGGTTAACTCATGGACAGAGATTTTAACTCTAGAGTTCTTTTTTAACCTCCTTGAGCATTCTGTGTTCTGCCTTTGGAGTGATCTTGGCTGGGCACCCACGGCTATGGAGAGTAGCCACAGTATCAAATTGTCTCCATTTACAGACAATATGTCTGTGGCCTGATGAATATCTGAAGTCTTTGAGATGACTCTGTAACCATTTTCAGCTACATGCAAATCAACAACTCTTGATCATAGGTCTTCTGAAAGGTCTTTTTTTTTGTGAGGCATGACTCACATCAGTGGATACTGCTTGTGAACAGCACACTGACACTGTTTCATTGTTTTTATAAGTCAAGGCAGCTCTAAACCACACTTCCATTCTAATTTCATTAATTGGACTCCAGGTTTACTAACATCTGACTCCAGTTGACGTTCAGACATCAGAAGCCTTGTGTTGTCATCACTTTTTCCACCCTCACTATGTATGTTTAATTGGTGTGTTCAATAAAGACATAAAAGATCGTGACTGTGTTTCATCAGCTTAAAAATATTGTGTTGATATTTGTGACTTAGGTAAAGATCAGATCACATTTCATGACCAATTTATGCAGAAAACCTGGAAATTGCAAACAGTGTCATTGCTTTTTCTTGTGTAGATCTTTAAATGAGCCTAAGGCAGTCAGCAGTGCATGTTGCTTTATTTGCCAACACAGACTCACTTTCCATAACGGCAGCAATCTGTATGGTCCAGTGCTAGCCCTGAGTGTCGCAGGCCAGAACACCCAAGGCATCAGAGCTGAGTATATTCCTCTATCAGACACAAGCAGCCATTCCAAAGTCTTGTTTCCATTTAGGCTTTATGCACTGGGTAATGAAGGCTTTTCTTTTTCTTTTCCTCTTCTGTGGATAGCCTATTGAAACCCTGCTCTTGAAGAATGGTTCAAACACAGCCTTGTAAATGTCTGTTCAGGTTGCTCAAGGCTCCTTGATACCTCACTTCTACTCAGTAAATCATTTGGTTCATTTGTTATGAAAAAGGCTACAAAACATCACAAATGCGGCTAGACAGGTAAGTATGAGGAAATACAGATCTAGCTTTGATGAAATGATGGGTTTCCAGCTGCATGCAGCACAACTAAATTTGAGCAAGGAATCTGACTTTTTTATTGGCACCCTGTGGAAAATCAAGAGGTCAAGAGGCTTGAAGTAGGGATAGGATGTTGCGAAGTGGCAGTTTTGGCAGTACTTTAAGTGGGTTCTTTCAGCTACTGTGGCTATCTGTGCCTGGCTGGAGAATTTAAATGTGATGCAGAGGAGTCATCCCCACACAGACCCTCAGGAGTGCTCCTCTGCCACAAGAACCAGTGCTGCAAGGGAAACTTTGACAGAAGCTCCAGAGCATCATGTGGAGATAAAAGATGTCAAAACTACTGTGTCTTCCTCCCCACAAACAGTCTTATATTATCCG